CGAGATTCACAGAATTTACAGAAAATGTTACATTTTTGTGATTTATATCGTTATCAGACGATACAATTCTTATATCGGGATATGAGATTTTGGTCATATCGCACAGCCCTATGCTCTACATAAAAGCTACGTTTGCGTCGGTGATAAGCTGATATCAGCTCATAGTTCTGGCTGAGCAACATCATCTGTCAGGCTCTGCAAAGGATACCAAATGTTGTAGACTTGAGGCATTATTTTAACACTTCCGTTTGCAAGCCTGCATAGAAAAGTGACTGAAGTAGTTCATAGTGACTAAAAACCTTCTCAAAGCAATAGTTATTTGTCATCTCTGTCTTAAAAGCATTTCAAAATAAAGTGTAAAAGCTCCCTTGAACATTGCCAAGAATAATACTAGAGGTTCAGTATTACTGATGCCATGTATATTTTAGTCATCTTAAAGCACAAATGTGTAATTTTTTTGTCGCAGCATCAGTTCTGTAGTATTACAGAGGAATTTTGTGATTGGTAAGTGGTTAGCCAGTGAGTATATTCTGTATAATCCTCCTTTATGACTCTTAGAATTATTTACAGTTTACAAAAAACATATTTTAATAATTATAACCTGAAACTAGCAGGTGAGCTCATAAAATCATCATGGAAATGTTTGCAAATGAGCTGAGGGGCTTTTTACCAAAAATCTAGACGTCTGCTTGTAAACAGAGGAGTCTCCACCTGCTTGGCCACGGTAAAGAATGCAGGTTTGGGGCATTTCTGCATTGGCTGAAAGCTGCATCGATCTTTTATCATGTCTATGCTCAGGTTACAGTGACTGATGTCAGCTCGGTCTCATCTGTCATGTGTCCTTCTGCAGCCCAGTCCCATCAAGAAGGACCGCTCCCCAAGGCCTCAGAGCTTCTGCCACTCCTCCAGCCTCTCACCCCACGACAAGCTCTCCCTGCCGGGCTTCATCAGCCAGAGGGACAAGCAGCAGCGTCTCTCCTACAGCGCCTTTACTAACCAGATGTACAGCGCCTCCACCGACCTCAGCTCCTCCCCGGTGGCCGACGGGCCGCCGCTGCCACCCAGGAACCAGGGCAAAGGTCAGACCTAGCTGCTCCGAGCGGCTTTGAGCCTGCATCGGTTTTCCGACCGCATTCAGTTTTATCAGGCTCTAGCTCCAATAAATTCAGGAGGTCACATTCTGCTAATATCTCCTTTTGCAAATGTCAGCCTGTGATGCAAATGGTCTAAAGGTTGTATGCATGCTCTGCTGTGGCTGATAACTGTGGAGGAAAGATGGCCTGTGGAAATGACTTTATTATGTCTGTTAATGTTTGATTATTTGCAGTCAGGATAAGGTTTGTGGGAATGCTTTGTAAATTACTTTAATGGAAAGTTCCTTCTTTGTGCTGTCAGTCAGTTTCCACACCCTGCAGTGGTATGCAATTTGTCAGCACACAGATCAGAGGGCGGGAAGCGGGTGTCATTAAGATTGCTTACACTGTAAACGTTCAGGAAAACACGGCTGTAGCAGAGGGCAAGGTGGCAAAGGAGGATACGCACTTACTTAATCGTTAGCCTGGGCAAAGTATCCACAGAGTATACTGTGGGCGTGCTGTCTCTGCAATATTGGAATTAAAAATAACACTCCTCCCCCTGTGGACCTGTACTAGCTTTCTCTGAAAACACTGCATAAGCTTAACTCTGCCAGCATCCATCTTAACAGTCATTTAATCCATCGCATAGCATTCAAATCTTATTTTTCCTAAAGCAAAGGGGTGTGAAATTTCACTTGTTTCCAGTTCAAATTAACCTGTTTCTGGTGACCCTTGGCTAAGCCTGCTTTCCACAGTAGCACAACAAGCACCCAGTGTGTAAAAAGGAGAGAAATTATTACATAAAAATGTGAGACGTTGAATCAAACTGTGAATTCTTTTTAATACTATGGATACTAAATTTCACACAGAAGTAGATTACAGTAGGCCTTGCTTCTCCAGCCAACACATCTTAACAGGAATTATGCAAATTTTCAGGCCCCTGAACTCATTAGTTTCTTTAAAATGAAATAAATTAAAGGAAAAGGGAGTTTTATCTTCTAGCATCAGTTTTTAAAGGGCAATTTTAAAACCCCATCATCTGGAAGACTACTTGAAATAAGACCTTAATTTTATTATTATTATTTTTTTTAGATATCTCTACGGTGGCTCAAAAAAAAAAGCTCACGTTAACACAGTGTGAAGGATGAATTCCCTAAAATGTTTGGACGTCTGATCTCTGACAGCAGAGATGGAAACTAGAGTTCTCTCTCATTTTCACAATATGACTTTTTGAAGTACTCAAAAGTCATTCACCCACACAGCTCAGTTAGAGGATGTGATGTAACGCCTCTCTCCCGTACAGCAGCCACAGTCTTTGGCTGTTATACATAACTATGAGCATATCACAGATCTAAATATTTTAGGGAGTTCAAGCAGTGCTTGTTATTGGTTTAGTAGCTAATAGCTAATGCAGCTTTATATTAGGTATGTTTGCTCCCTTTGCTTGAGAGTACAGATGAGCGTACTAAGCTATACAAACACAATTTTTCCATTCGTATTCATTTTAGCATTTTTTTTCTCACATTTTTATCTTTGGAAAAGCGATGACAAATGCTCGTAGGTACCAAGTATCTTCCTCTCTTCCTCTTCCCCTCTGCGATCTGATATTTCTGTCAGTGTTGTCCCCAAAACATCATAATCAGAACTGAACGGTCGTGCTTTTGTAATGTCAGAGCTTTACGCCTGAGAAAAAGTTCCTGCGCACGGGGAAATGTTGTTTTTGAAACCATAATCTTTGCTTAAACCCAGCTGAACTGTGTCCATTATGTCTAACAAACAGAAGATTAATAATTCCACATTTACTTTTGGTTTCCTGTTGGTCACAAATCCCAGTGTCACGGGTGAAAGTCCACCATAACCTTATCTATAATTCGCCTTTACCGCTTCAGCCACGTTGTAGTATTTTTATCCTTGATCGTCACAATATGATTGGTCAGTCGGTCCAGTGTTTATGTTGCTTAAGGGACAACACCAGCGGCTGTGTCAGAGACGTCTTCTCATGTGAACTGTGCATTGATCTTTTTAGTTCCTGTCCTACTAAATGTCCCTGAAGAATGAGCATTAATATTTATCACAGGTTCAGCTACCCGTAAATAACCAAAACGGCACTGGAAACAAGTCATTTTATGCAAAAATAAGATTAAGAGGGAAAACGTCATAGATGCATTGAGAATATCACGCTAACCCTTCATTGGCGGCGCTCTCTCTTTCTCCCTCTCTCTCAGTGGGTGCTGAAGAGCTGGCTCCCCGGGGGCCGGCTTCACACCGTTTCTCCTCTTTTTTTTCTTCTTCTTTTTTTTGCTTTGCTTGCCACTGATAAGATTTCATCTTGTTATTTTACAGCGTGTGGGAGCAGCTCTTTTATAAGACTGACATACTGTAGATTCTCTCCCACACTCCTCATCTCGCTCTGTTTTCTTTCTCTTTTTTGTTTCTCTATTCTTTCAGCTCCACACTTGGCATTCCTTGGCTCTCATTCGCACTACGCCACACTGGCTGGCACTCGACCATACATCAGTGAATATCCTGGTTTTATGTTCTCCCTCCTTACTCGGCTGTGTGCCCCACATACAGTTATCCCTCAGTTGTTTCTTCCTTTTACAGCTCACTTTTACGGGGTGGTGGCATTTATTTAAGTGAATAACGGCACCACATAGGCAAGCTTTTAATTATTTATTGCCTATGTGATTTTTTTAAATTATATTTTCCCACCATCCATGGGCTGTAAACTCCTAACCACAGCTGATTCCTCTCTGGCTGAGCTCTCTATTAGCTGCTTTCACTCTACTCTTCTCTGTACTGGTGACCAGTGACTGCTTTGGAGTCCCAGTAGAAAAAGGCAGGCGTATTTAAAAAAATAAAAGTCCCCGTCCAGACACTCCTGTGTGTATTTATATGTTCAAACAAGATTGTTTTACTTGCATTAACTTGTCTCCTCCTCATTATCCTCTCCTTTACCTGTTATTTTTTTTATTTGTTTATCTTTTCGGTGGGCTTCATCACCTCATGTGTCTTATGTATCGCTCCTCCAGCTCCTCCCCCATCCGGCCCTCCCTCTTCACTCACACCAGGAGGCAGCTCCACCCTGTCCAAGAAGAGACCGCCGCCCCCCCCTCCTGGACACAAACGCACCCTGTCCGACCCACCCAGCCCACTCTCTCACAGTCCACACAGTAAAGGGAGCGTAACCGGGGGTGAGATGCAAGCACACGTTCTGTAACAGTAGGGCTGGTTTCACTCAGGCGTGTGGTTCCAGTCTGAAGATGGAAGATCACAGAGAAGTTTTGTTCATTCTTTAAGTTAATTTCACTTAGGAGAGGGTGAAAAACCAAATGTTAACTCTGCGTCCACTTCTAGGTTTTTCCAGAGCGTTTTGAGTTCATACGCTCTTACCCAGAGATTCATAGGTCATGTATCCCACCGGAGGTAGACTCCATTGCATAATTACCACCTTAAAATGTGTTTTTAAAGCTAATAAGTGGACAGAGCTTAGATTTTTTTTTTAATTTTAGCTGATTTTTTTTTAGTATTTTGACTTTTGTTTATTAAGTTCCACAAACTGTTTCTTCCATTTTTGTCTCTTATGCAGTCTGAAGAGTTATAAACAGTCCCTCTACACATCCTATACATTTGTGTAGAGCTGCATTTGTCGAGTAATTTGTAGTTAATATCTACTGGATGTCCAGTCCAATCCAACTTTATTTAGTAAGCACTTTTAAAAAAACAACATAGTGCTTTCAATTTAAAAGACACCAATAGAATATAAAATACTTGTTTGTTTGTTGTTTTTGTTTTTTTAAAGGAAAGTAAAAACCAGTAAAACATGAAAATAATAGAAATAAAATAATTCAAGTAAGTTTTATTTTATAACACTAAATCACAACAGCAGTGACGTCAAGGCTCTTCATAGTATAAATATTATAGCATAATATTCCATTATAACTCCATAATCCGATAACCCCCTTTAAGCAAACACTTGGCGATAGTGGGGAGGAAAAACTCCCTTTTAACAGGAAGAAACCTCCAGCAGAAACAGCCTCAGAGAGTCCATCTGCCCCAACAGGCTGGGGGAGATGGGAGAACCAATTTTTTGCCACTGAAAGCATTAATCCACAAAAACTTAGCATTACAGTGTAGCAACGATGCTTCAACCACTTAGACCAGCGGTCCCCAACCTTTTTTGCGCCACGGACCGGTTTATGCCCGACAATATTTTCA